GGCGAGCGCATGCGCGGCGGCGGCGGCGGCGGCGGCGGCACCCGCGGCGGAGAGAAGGGCCGAAGACTCTCGGCGCCCGTTGGCCGCGGGGAGGCGCTCTTGCGCCGGGCCGCATTGATAATGTTGCGCGCCAGAAGCGCCTGCAGCTGGCGGCTCGGGGGGCGTACTTCGGTTTCGGGGCGCAGCGGGGACACGGAGCGCTCGCTCCACGAGGGGGACATGGGCGGTAGCGGCGGCAACGGCGGCGGGCTGCTCATGCTGCTCCCGCAACCTGGCTCCCACGGCCCGGGGCTCACCCAGCCGTCCAGGCTGCTGGGGGGCCGGGATGCGCCCGGAGTCCAGGGCGGGGAGGTGGGCAGGCTCTCTTGGCGATCCTGGGGAGAAAGCAGAGAGGGTGGGGGCAGGTGTTAGAGGTGGGTCCTCTGTATCAGGGTTTCGGAAGGGACCTAGTCGTATTGTCCATTATACATAGTCGGTAAGGCACTGACGACAGTCAGGTAGTGCCCGCAATAAAACGCAGGTGACAAACTCAGCTTTAAAAAGCCTATGCTGTCTGGTGTCAGCCCCTGCGCTTAACAGCGAGGCAGATGACTCTGGATTAAAAATACTCGCTTTGGAGACAGACTCAATTTACTGAGTGAAGTGGACAAGCAATCATTCCCTCGGGCTCATTTCCTCTGTAAAATTGATACGCTATAAAGTCGTGAGGGATGGATATAACTCTTTTACAAAAGAGCATTGCGTGTGTTCGCATATTCCTTGGAGGAAAGTGCTCAGTAGTGCACTCTATGGGTTACCATAGAGACTGGAGGGATAAACATGAAGGTAACCAAAGTGGTTACCTGTTAAGAAATGGAGAGAACAGGCACACAAGGCATACAGCCTCAGGGGGTGGGAACAAGGCTTTCTAAGGTACTACTTTATATGTTTGGGTTTTTTAAAAAAATCATGTGTGTATTATGTATTCCAAGGTTTAAATGTAAAATTGTTAACTACTACTCTTAAGATTGAACCTAGTGAAAGACCCTTTCACCCCTTCTGTGTTTGGCACCGGTCACCTCCTCACTTTTTTTCTTTGGTGCCTGAGTAGGGAGAAAGTTCCTAATGGCAGATGGAAACACAAAGGAAGTTGGGTCACTTTTTTCTGGCCAGCATTCTCTCCTCACTGCACTTTTTGCCAGCATAGGAGGGAGTATGGCTCTAAGAAACCAAGATGGTGAACATCTTTGAGGTTATAAAGCACGCCTCTGCTGCACACTGCCATACCGGTTTCCTCCCTATTTAAGGACTTTCCAGTCTACAAGGTTCATTCTCATCCTTTAGCTCTCACTGATTCTTTACAAGGCGCTGGTGAGATTGCTGGCATTATCATGCCCACTAATTCATGATGAAGATGAATCTCGGGGGTATAAATAACTGCCCAGTGTATTCTGCCCCACTAGGAAATGTGTGTGTGTGTGTGTGTTTGCTGTCCAAAGGCTACACCATGTTTAAGCAGTTTTAACAGATTTGAAAGAGGATGGCTGGTTGAGCACTTACCTAACAAGTGCAAGGCCCTGAGTTCAACCCCCAGTACCACAAAATAAAGAAAATTGAGGGCATGGGTAATCTATACCTAGCATGTATCTCCTGAAACATCCAACTGTTCATCCAATCAGATGTCAGCAATAAGCAATCTACATGGACTCCTAAACCAACCCAAGTTCACTAGCAATCAATCATCCATCTATCCTAAGTTCTGCATTCAATACCTACTACCCAATCAAAGTCTAGAACATCCATCCTTTTTTTCATCCAGTCAGTGATCTGCCATCACAAGCCAGTCTTCCATTCAACCAATCAAGAATCCAGCTCCTCCCAAACAAAAGGAAGCAATAGAGGCAGATGGTAATGTATTCTCCAAACAGAATGTGGCAGCTACCAGATGAGCCCAGACTCAGAATCAGAGCCCTTTAACCTAAAGAGGAATATTATGCAACAGGTTACAGAGGAAAATTTTTGTGGGATGGTAATGCTTCAGTGACCTTTAGAGACCTTGTGGGGACATTTAAGCTCCCAACCATCAAGTAGGGAAGTTAAAAAAGCTTAGTGTGAGACACCCCCCTTTTATTCTCAGGATCAGAGTTGAGTATATGTGAACCACTCTCAAGCTGCTCTGTGGTTGCAACACATCCCAGGAAGCTTGGGGTCAGGCCCCCTGTGGGAGGCAGACCCCACAACTTAGGGAGAAGAGCTTAGAGGGAGATCCTGTTCTTGACCAGACATGAAGGACTAAAGGTTGAGACCAAAGTCTTGGGGCCAAATGCCAAGTCAGGGGAGCCCAATACCCAACTAGAGTTCTACCCTAAGCAGGGAGGTGGGGACAAGAGCTCTGAGGGAGCTATGATAGCCGTCTAAAAATATCTAAAGTGTTGTCCTCTGCCTGTAGTGGTCACAGGGATTGCTGGATTCAACAAGTGAAAAGAGTAATGGAATCCAGCCATGACCATGAAATGGAATGGCTCAAGCACGGGTTGGAATGTTGGGGGCAGTGGTGAGCAGCATATCATCTTTTGGAGGTGGGCCAGGCCTGACCTCATCCTAAATGCTATGTCTGGGGACTAACTCTATATGTGAGAGAGGGGAAAAAGGGGTGTGCAACAAAAAAAGGCTTCAGAAAATCAGCACTGTTCACTTTCTGCTGAAGACCTCAATGCACCATACACACTGAACTCCTTGAAAATGCAATGAGTGAAAATTCAGAAAGTACTACACAGTCAACTCAGCCCCAGCCCCACAGCAGCACCCGAGGGTGAGTTTATGGGGTGAAGGCTTGGGCAAAGCAGAGTCAGCCACGAACTATCAGTGTCCAACTGAAGTTCCCAGACCACCTTCTGCAATCCCATCATTGCAAAGAAGGGGAAACTGAGGCCAGACACAGGAAGGGATGTGCAAAGTCACACAGAAACCAGGTGCGATCTGGCAGTTTTTTCTCTCCAAACTTGGTGCATTTGGGAGGCAGGCAGTGGCAGTGATGAATGTGGGAAATAGTTAAGTTTAGGTAATAGGAAGAAGGGGAGGGGACCTGAGGGAACTGGAAAGTGAACGCTCTGGTGAAAGACATTTCAACTCCACTATTACAGAACTCAACCCTAGCCCTATGGCCAGCAGGTTTCCCACATGCCCCCGGTCTTGGCCAGACTCTGGGGGAAGATGAAAATGAAAGAAGGTCATTTGTCCTGGGGGTTTGGGGTCCCTGAGTGCCTCCCTTGAGAACAGAGAGAACAGCCCTCGCTTCCAAGACAGCACTTGGCTGTCCCCTGGCAGATCCAGACACACAGCATGTGTGGGATACACACAGCAGCACGTGGGGACACAATCTTACTGTCATACATAGCAGCTAAGCAGTCCCGCTTCACTTCCACACCTGAATCAGAGGCAGCAGCAGCAGCGCAGAAGAAAGAAAGAAGCAAGACGGATTTGAGGCAGAGTGTATTGAGAACAGGAGAGAAAACAAAGTTGGGGAAGAGCTCAGCCTGGCCTTGGGAGCTGCAGGACAGAGGGTGGGCTCTTCCACTGCTGGCCCTCCAGGGCTGAAGAGGCTGGGGTCCCAGGCAGGGGCTCATTCTGTTCTGGGAGGGCCTGGTGTGAACAAGCTGATCTCGCTCACAGCTCCCCACGCATCCTCCTCTTCTGTGTGGAATGAGCTCACTGACAAGGCACCCCTGTTCCCATGGAGACGGGCCCTGAGCTCACGAAAACTGCAGGCTCAGCCCAGCATGGGCACCACCTCCACTACCCTCGCCCCTCTGGGAGCCCAGAAATAGGGCTGGGAAAGAGGAAGTGGGTGGTCCTCACCCCCAGTCTTGGGAAGCTTCCATCTGAATTCTGCCTCTTGCGTCTGTATTCTTTCACCCCCCACAAGGCCTAGCTGGTGGGGCTGCTTCCCATCAAAGGGAATGGGAGAATCTCAGGCTACCTGACCCAACACCCTCACTGTATGAATGGGGAAAGTGAGATCCAAAGAGAGCTTACAGTCAGGCTATTAGAAAGCAGGTCTATGTCTCAGACTTCTCCTCAGAACACTAGGGTCTCCTCTGTGCTTTCCCCTAAACAGCTGTGCCCTGCCCCAGTCCTCTCCACACTTACACTGCCTCTAGGCAATTCTGAGCCAGAGCTATTCAGCCCAGGCTTCTGATTCTTGGGCCTCCTGCAGCAGCTCATTCCAACTACACCTCACTAGGTGACCTTCACAAACCTCTAGCTCTATCTGTCCTTCCTCAATCTATTCCCTTTTCCTTTCTTCTCAGGGGACTCTCTCATCACTTACAAGGCATCTCTCTCAAAGCACCAGCCTATACGCTCAGTCCTCGCAGATTATCCAACTAGAAAGGTTTCTGCATAAATGAGAAAACTGAGGCCCAGTGAGGGAAAGTGACTTGGCCAAAGTCACACAGCAAGTGGGAGGTATAGATAAGACCAGAGCCCTCCTTCCCTACCTCTGTCCCTGAAACCTGTACCATGGCCCTGAGGTGGCTTCTTTTAATCAGGCTTCTGAAGAGGAAGCCAAACAACCCATCAATACATCACTAAAGGGCCCTTCTCCTAACAGCATATCCACATCTGTATAGCCATCTATGGGGTCCAACTTCTCTCAGGAATCTCCAGGGACACCCCTTACCCCCCAAACAGTGAGGGCAAGCCAGGAGCCTAGGAATCTCCTAAGTGGAGCCAGGTCCTGAAGAAGGTGTGGAGGCAGCTGAAGAGAGGGCAAGAAGGGAAGCATCAGACAGTAATAGTTTGCTAAATCCACATTCAGCAGAAGGACCCAGGAGAGGAGAAAAGGTGGAGCAAGGCAAAGCTGTCTGAAGCAGTGAAGAGGAAATGGTGTCCAGAAGGGCAGAGGAGGAAGAGACAGGCCCGTGGAGGTGAGAATCCAGCAGCAGGAAGAAAGATATCAGGAGCATGAGCCCATGAGGGAGGCAGACTCTTGGCTGGCAGATTCCACAGGCACTGGCAGGCTCTGTCTGCTCCAGAAGCCCCAATAGGACCCCCTTGGGGCCGTCCTCCAGCAAGACGCTGGCATTCCTCCAGCTCACATGGCCAGAGGAAGCTCCCTCAGCTGCATCAGAGCCTGCTGAAGGAGTTCTTTCTCCAGTATCCTCCTCCCCACCCAGACATGGAGTCCAAGCTCCCTGATCATCGGGGCAATAGGCCGCTGCAGCTCAGAGAGGGAAGGCAACTTGCCCAAGGTCACATAGCTAGTTGGTGGCAGCGCCAGACCTTGAGCCATAGACTCATTCTCCTCACTACACCCCATGCCATTTTCTGCCACGTCTGCTGTCCATCTGGCCATCAGATGACAGGTAGTGGGGCCCCCGCGGGATCCATTACTTGAAACAGAAGGAAGGCTTCCACACCTGAGCCTCGATTCCGGCGTTTCGGGTGGAGAAGGAAGGTCTGGGGGCCTGCTTGGCTCTGGGAGACCACGCCCGAGAGGGAGATACTGGGGAGACGTCACTGCTGTAGGTGGGGCTCACAGCAGAGGGCTGGAGGCCATCCTGGCCAGGGGAGGTGTAGAGGCCGGGTGAGGAGCGGGAGGGCCGAGGCAGGGCAGGAGACGGTGGGAGGCCAGCCCTGGGCAAACTGGGCACCAGGTCTAGGGAGCTTGGCTTGGCAGGGGAGGCAGCGCGTGGGGAGGCAGTGCGTGATGAGGCAGCTCGGGATGACGCAGTGCGTGGAGAGGCCTTGGCAGGTTCCTTGATGGGCGAGAGGGCAAACAGCGAGGGCCGCATCTGATATGGTGGCTGCTTGGTGGGCTCGGGGCGCAGGACCCCGTTCTCAGGCAGGTAGCCATGGTAGAGGGAAGCAGGCGGGGTCCGCGCTGGGCTCAGCGATGCCACTCGGAAGCCCCCGGGGGCATTAGTGGAATATTTCCATGATGAAGGCAGAGACATGGTGGGTGAAGGACAGCGGGCCAGCTCAGCATGGCCTGAAGACTCAATGACATATTTCTCCATCCGTGATTGGCGGCGGGCATAGAGCTCCGCCCCCTTCCCAGAGGCCTCTGAGAGGTTCTGGTTGGGTTTGGGCTTCGGCTTGGCCTGGATGCGGGGCGACTTGAGGCAGGAGGCCCACTCGGGAACAGCCTCCTCAGCTGCAGGGCTGGCCCTCCCCCGCGATGTTGGCTCCTGCTGGAAGTTGGAGGCCTCGGCCCCCAGGGCGAAGGGCTCCTCCTCTGCGCCCACTTCCCCCTGGTCCCTCTGCCTCCGCTTCTCGTCGGCTGTCTGTACCAGGTCCAGCAGGTCTGGATTCGGGGTCACCTTGGGCTTCTCCACGAAGGTGAACATGGATTTCCGGCTACCCCGGCGGGCCATCGACTCCTCCAAAATGCCTGTCTTGCTGGCAGGAACTGCTTGGCCCTTCCCATAAGAAGGCTTGGGGTCGGAGCTGGGGTACAGAGCAGAATAAGAGGGGGGAGCCCTAACCCGGTTAGCCAAGGGGGCCGTGGACAAGGTCTCAGCATAGGTGGGAGGTGGAGTGAAGTTCCCCAAGGGGCGTCTCTCCAAAGCTGGACTTCGCTGCCCCACCAGCCTCCTTTCCACCATGGGGCTGTGGGACATTACGTGTCTCTGTGGTCGGGGACTCCTGTCTGCCATGGTGGAGGGCTGGAGGGCCGCAGCCTTCTCCCCGAGACATCGTCTCTCTACCATGGGGCTCCGCTCCATCTGGCTAGTGCCCCTGGGTGCCTGGATCCCGAAAGGCCTGGCTGTCCTGTTGACCACCGATGGAGGCTTGGCCAATGTGAAGTGGACTTCACTGTACATCTTGGTGGGCGTGGTGGCAGGTGCCCTCCCAGACATCTCTTGTTCTGCTGATGTCACCAGGGCGCTGGGATGGACATCGATGAGCAGAGAGCTGGACGTGAACTCTGAGGCTGGGGACCCAGAGCTGGGGATGGGAGTAGCTTCTCTGGAGAAGGTGCTGGTGACAGCAGGTGGAGTTGATACCTTATCGATTAGGAGTACACTGGACCTAATCTCCTCCACCGCTGGAGCCTGGGGTTGCCCATCAGCGCACGGTGTGCTGGGTTTGGAATCAGGCATTATGCCATTCGTGGGGTGCTGAGTCTCAGAAGAATTTGTTGAGCCACAGAAAGTGGTGGGTTTTGTGGAGTGACAGTTGTGGGGGGGTTCTGACTGACATCATTGGCTGGCAGGTTGCTATGGCTATTAGAAGCTGATTCGGTGAGTGTGGCACTAGGTGAGGAAAGGTTCTCGTTCACATCTGCATCTGGGCTGTGTACCTCGGCTTCAGGAGGGCTTGGTGGGGACTTCTGGGCCTCACGGTTCTGGGACAGGTGGAGCCCATTGGCTGTCAGCAGGGCTGCATTTTCCTTCAAGTAAACCACCAATGGCACTTCTTCCTCCTCGCTGGCCACCTTCTCCAGGTGCCGCAGCAAACTGGTCTCTTCTGAGTACCCCTCCATGCTGTGGCCTGGGAGCCCTCTGTTGAGACTCTGGGAGTTGGGGTTTCTTGTAGGACCTGACTTGGGCGGGGCGGAAGAACTCAGGCTGTGCCCTGGTGCATGGCCTGTGGGGCTTGCAGGGCGCACTCTGAGGGACTCCTGGCTGGGCTTCAGTCCCCTCTGGCCACAGCTCTCCAAGGTGAACTCATTCACCCTCTGCCGGCGCCTATTGAAGAGCTGGACACCACGGGAGTTGGAGCTGGGAGGGGTGGTGAGCTGGGCTGCGATCTGCTGGCTCCGCGCCTTGGCCTCTTTCAGATCCTTCTCAGTGATACTAGTATTCCGGCCCAATGCTGTGGGAAGGGACAGAGGCCTGGTTAGCAAAGGGAATGCAGTGCCACAGGGGTGCATAGACAGACAGGCAGACATACAGATGGTCACCATGATCATCTTTTCTCCTGGAATTTGACCTTTACTCAGGGTATCCAAGAATCAGCTCATGGTCTAGCCACCACTTCTGTGAAGCATTCTCTGGTTAGCTTTCCGAGATTAACTGGCCCTTCATTTGGACTGCTCTTGAAGGATACAGTATTTCACCAAACTAAGTCTGAACACCTCCCCCTAGAACTCAAGGCCCGCTACATCCCCCTCTCATCTCTCACCAACCTTCTCCAATCTTGCTAGGCTGTGCCACACTGGCTTTCTCTCTTTTCCTTGAAAATGCCAAGTTCAGTCCTGCCCCGGGGCCCTTGTACTTGCTATTCCCTCTGCTTGGAAAAATGTTTTCCTGGATGGCATTCCATGTTGGTTCCTTCTTGCTGCTCAGGTCTCAGCTTGAATGTTGCCTCTCTGGAGTGATTCTCACTTCTCCTATCCTCACAGCGTTCACCACAAATTGAAATGATCTTCTTTATATTCCTCATTTATATTTGGGTCCTCACCTAGAGTGAAGCTCTAAGGGGGCAATGGCCTTGTTCAACCTATTTAGCACACTAATGCCAGCCCCCAGAATAGTGCCTGGCCTAACGTGGGTGCTCAGTGAAGATCAGTGAATGCACAAATGAACCCCAGAACATTTTCTACTGGCTTTCTTAAGATACTTTATACTTTCAAATTCACTGTTTAATAATGCTTTGATTTTATAGAGAGCTGCCACTAAAAATAGGTAATGCATCCACATTTATAAATTAAAAAGCCATACAGTGAAAAGTGTCCCTTTGCTGCTAATTACTCCACATCACAATCAGGAAACTGCTGTTGTCATTTTCTACATGTCTCCTGAATTTTTTTTTTTTGCCATTATTATTCTCATTTATTTATTATTTATTTTTTAATTAAATTTTAAAAAAATTTTTGGTGGGACTAGGGTTTGAACTCAGAGCTTCATGCTTAAGCCACACCTCCAGTCCATTTTGCTCTGGTTATTTTGTAGATGGAGTCTTGAGAACAACTGTCAGCCACTGGCACCTGGCCCATTTTTATTAAATAGGCATTTTTATGCTGGGCACCAGCGACTCACACCTGTAATCCTAGCTACTTGGGAGGCTGAGATCTCGAAGGTCACAGGTCAAAGTTCTGGGCAAAAAAGTTTACGAGACCCCTCATTTCAACAGAAAAAAGCTGGGTGATGGAAAGCTTAAAACAGGAGGATTACAGTTCAGGCCAGCCTGAGTAAAAAGCAAGACTATATCTCCAAAATAACCACATCAGAAGACTGGAGGCATGGCTCAAAAGTAGAGCATCTACCTGGCAAATTTAAAGCCCTGAGTTCAGACACCAGTCCCATCAAAAGAAAAAAAGAAGAAGAAGAAAAATAATAATTTTAAAATTCACACATTTTAGAATTACTTTAGAAAAGTAATAAGTTGGGCTAATTTCAGCAGTGACTATGCTAGAACACTGAGTCTTCCATTTTATCCTCACAAGAGCACTGGGAGATAGCATCACAAGACCCAATTTGACAGAAGAGTAAACCCCTGCTAATAAATTCAGAGACTCATAAGTAACCAGCCCAAGGTCACACAGCTAAGGATGACAAAGCTGGAGTCAGTCCAGGATTCATGCTCAAGGTCCCTTTGAGAAGCAGGGGTAGGAAACAGGGTCAGTGGGATTATCCAAGTTCAGTCTGAGGTCAGGGATCAGGTCAGTATTAGTTTCCACCATTTTTCTTTCTATCCACAGTGCCCAGCTGGTACACAGGCAGTGTTCAATTTGTGCTTGTTGAACAATGAATGAACAAATGGCTGCATGAACAAATAAACTGACAGGCAGCTGGAGAGATCAGTCTTTGGCTAGGGTTACCAGCTTAGTCAGTGGCTGAGAAAATTCCTCTCTCCATCAGGCCCTCTCCCTGTTGTGAGAAGCTAATTAGTTCTTGAGGAATCTGACCCTGCCTTCCTCCTACCTTGCCCTCATTAGCACTGGCCGTGACATGAGTCTCCTGGGACAGTCTTTCCAGGCATCCCGCCAGCCAGGCTCAGCATTCATGGACTCTCAGAGCTAGAAGGGCCCTTATAAAGGTTCATTCCACTGCCACCCCACTTTATAGATGGGGAAACTGAGGGTCAGAGAGTAGCCCAGGGTGGAATCCACTGATCCCCACACTGGACTCAGCCAATAGAGGACACGCAGCAACTACATCAGATCCAGACCAAGCAGCCACAGGCTTTTTGGCCCCCACCTGTTCCTTCACTTCCCCCATCAGGTCTGACTTTGCCCCACGTGTTGGAAACACAGCACACAGCCTGCCCTACCCACCATGACACCTCCTCTCCTTCCAGGTCACCCTTATCTGTAAAAAATGAAGGGCTTAGCTAGATTGCTCCCATAAGGGAACCAAGTGGGGTCTCCAGCCACACAGGAGGCCCTGAGGAGCTGCCAGCCCATGCAGTGCCTGTCCCCTCTGCTCTGCTTAGAATCAGCCCTCCTGGACCAAATCCAAGCTGTCACTGGCTAGCTGTGTGACCTTGGCAAGCAATGGCAGCTCCCAGGGCCATAGTCTTCCCAGCTGAGAAGGGAGGTAAAAGCACTTGATGTCAGGGCTGAGAGGCCATAATGAGGTCATGAATGCCAAAGGCTTATTGTCATTAAGCCCTAGGGACGGAGCAGAGGACTCATGCTACCATGGGAAGAGCTGGCAATTGGTGATCCCACTCTGTTCCCTGCAAAGGAGACTCACTGCACAGATCAGTGTCCCAAAGACAACACAGCAGGGGATCCCAGAGTTATGGGGAAGTGTATGGCCCCAAGTCACAGAACCCCAGAATCTCAGGGTTCTCGCTGGGTCCGATTCCGCACACAGGCCTCTGCTTACACACCCCACTGATATGAGTGCTCTACCTACCACTGGTATTCATCCCTCTGCCATGAAGTGCTCCCTCTTTACATTAACCTCCAGTTCTTGTTTGTTTTTTGGTGGGACTGGGGTTTGAACTCAGGGCTCTACCCCTTGAGCCACACCCCGTTCACTTTGCTCTGGTTATTTTGGAGATGGGGGTCTCACAAACTATTTTCCCAAGCTGGGCTCCAACCACAATCTTCCCCAACTCAGCCTCCCGAGTAGCTGGGAGTACATGGGTGAGCTACCATGCCCAGCACACCTTCCATTTCTCAATGCGGTTCTCCCTCCTGGGGCCACACAGATGAATGGCTTTCTCCTTTTACCCTGACAACCCTGCAAAGATGTATAGATACAAATCACATCTGATGCAACAAAGTCCCACCAAAGTTTCTTAGAACACAACTGCAGCAATAGTAACTAACATTGATTGGGCACTTACTGCATACTTATACATGTACTTCACACAAAGTATTTAATCTCACAACAACCCCACAAAACACAAACTGCTACTGTGCATGCTTTATTGATGAGAAATCAAGGTCCAGAGAGATAAGGGGGACTGCCCAACATCACAGAGCTGGAAAGGAGTGGAGCTGGCTGGTTTCATACCTGGCTCTCCTTCACTACACAGGGTGCCAGCCTCTTGGCTAGCAGGTTCCCACAGCTAGATGCTCATGAAAAAGGCTCCTGCAAGGGCTGGTGGAGTGGTTCAAGTGGTAAGCGCCTGCCTAAGAAGCTTGTGCAAGGCCCTGAGTTCAAACCCCAGTACTGCCAAAAAAAAGGAAAGTGCTCAGACTTGTCAATGTCCCTGCATCAATCCCATTCCCAGGCTGGCTAAAAGGCCATGGATTTAGAAAATCTTTAAATGCCAGAGTGTGAAGGGCCCCTCAGAGATAAGCTGAGTCACAAAATAGGATGTGGCCAGGACCCAGGTCTGCTGACTCCCAGCAGATAACCCTCTCCCACTCCTCTGAGCCTGACCTGCCCTCCAAGTTCCTGTTCTGGGGAAAGAGGACAGGCAGAAGGGGCTGGGGAGTGAGCTCTGCCCTCCTACAAGAGCTCCCCCACCCCCACCCCAGCACACAGTGACTCCACAGCAAAGGAATTCAGCAGGAGGTTTGGACCAGACCCAGGTCAACAATCCCCATAATTTTTGCCACCTTACACAAACAAAGCTGGGGTGCCTGTGACCAACCACAGGCACTCCAATGTCCCTTGTCACAGGGCACCACCTAAAATTCCTCAGGCTGGGGAGCTGCCACCTCTAGCAATGGCAACTGGGCTAAGATTGTGGTCCTTGGAATCAGAGAGACAGAAGTGGCCAAGAGCCACAGGGCACCTACAGCTCATGTTTTGGCTGTGACCTACACCTGCGCTGGTCACGATTCCTGCCCTAAGTGATAACCCCACCTTGCACGTTGGATCGGCAGCCCTGAAGCTGTCTTCACAAGAGACAGGAGATGAGGGCAGACACAGGAAGAACTGCCTGGGGTCAGGATACTCGGTCCAGCAGGGCAGATGGCAAAGGGTAGGGAGGTTGTGAAGCCCCAACTTCACACAGCCCTGGTGTCGTGCTCTGCACTTTATGCTGTCACTTTATGTTCATCCTCACAATAAGCGCAAAAGAGAATACTGTTAATTCTCCCATCCTGTAGATGAAACCCAGGCCTAGGGTGCTTGCTATAAGTTGTAAGTGGCAGAGCTGGGAATCAAGTCAGGAAGTCTGGCTGCAAAGTCTTAACACCTAACTACTCTGCCTTCCAGGCGAAGGGAGGGGCATCAAGAAAGGCTCCAGAGCTCCTGGATGATGGTCTGCAGGGCTCTTTGCTTTCTCATCCATGATCAATGCCCTTAGCTGCCTACGACTCATACTTGATCTCCATTCTTCCTCTCAGGGAAAGAGCCGATGAACTCATTCTTACTAAGGTAAAAATGACTGATAGTGTGTGAGAGATTAGTGAGAGTCATGAAGTAAGGGTTTATGAGACTCCCCAGTTCTAGTTTTGCTTGGGCAAAGACAAGCCTTTTCTCCCATCTCTATCACCCTGTGTGGGCAGCTGCCTATTCTGCCCATCACCAGGCCTGTCTGGACCAAGAATCCAAAGGAGGGAGGTGGGGCAGGGGAAGGGAGGCCAGAGCACAAGGTCAGGACAGGGAGAATTCAAGGAAATGCTTCTTCACACGGCTACGGCTGCCGTCATGGGAGTGTCCAGGCCTGAGGAATGAGGTGGAATGGGGAGCCAGGATTAGGAACACAGATGGCGTGAAGCACTCCATTGTGGCTAGCCAGGAGACTTGGCAACAGGACAGGTAAACTGCCCCCCTGGTGGGCCAGGAAGGAACCAATGGCTGGCCGCTACACAACCTCTGGCTTGGCTGGGGCAGGAAGATGAAGAGGGCTGAGTAATGGCCTGGCTACCTTGCCATTCCTGCCCTGCATCCTCTCCCCACCCCTCACACACACACACAGGAGGAAATGACACAGGCCCAGACCCTGGGGAGTTCTCCCGCCATGCCGGAGACATGGCAAGTGCAGCCTGGCTTTGGCCCACAGACCTCCAGCCCTCCTTTCCGGAGAACAATAAACAGTCAGGTGGGTAGGACTATGAGGAGTGGGGAGCCCCAGACCTCGCCATACTGCTAACAGGCTGGCAGAAGTCATCACCAAATGCCTCTCCCCTGGTGCCCAGAGGGAAAACTCAGACCAGACAAGGGATGCCCTTATGCCCTGAGTCACACACAAACCCCCCCCCCGCCCCCGAGCCCCAAAGGCACCGAGTGCTCCTCTTACTCACTCCACTCTGGCTGGGTCCTCCCTGCAGCCTAGCTTCCCCAGGATGCTCCTGCTGGCTTCGGCTGCAGGCCTCAGTTCTCAAAGCCTCTGGGAAATGCAGCCAATTGCCTGGCTGTGGAAGAGAGGAAAATCCCACCTCGACAGCACACAGAGCTGGATATGACTCCGCTCCTCCACAGATGACTCAACCGGCTCTTTATCAGGAAAACTGATTTTGCAACAGCCTTTTAAATGGCCTCTCCACCCCCAGTCTCTCCCCCGCCAATCAACCCACCCCACGCAGCCAGATTCACCATCCTCCCTCCCAGCTTCAATTGTGTTTTTCTCCTGATCAAAACCCTGTGCTGTCTCCCCAGGACATGGGGGATCAAGAAGATTCCTCCTCATCCTGGTGTTCAAAGCCCCTGGCACCAGGGTCTGCCGGAGGGCTCATCACCCTTCTCCCTGTGCCCTTGGCAGTGGTGAGGGAGTTCAAAAGCCCACGATTCCCACTGCTGCTGGGTAAGTTCCTGCCTAGAGCCTGGCTTGCCCATAACTTTCACATCCTTTCTGTACGTCCTCATCCCCCAGCCTCCCACCTAGTTCAAATGCTACCCCCTTCCCCAAAAAAACCTTCCTAGCAGGCATCTCCGCCTTGCCTGGTCCCCATCCTCTGCTAGCAGGAAGAAGCCGAGAGTATGACCAGACTTGGCCTCTCCTGCTGTCTCCTCTGAGCCCCACTCCCTCTCTGAGGCCTCTGGATTAGGTTGGGCAGGAGAGGACAACTGATCTAGGAGTCTGGATGGATTGACTAAGCCTTCATGAAAGAGGTGGCAGCTGGGCTGGATCCAGGATGGTGGGTGGGGAAAGTGAGTAGAACCTTCCAGAAGAAAAGGCACCCCAGGCTTGGGATGAGTCAGACTGATCAGGTATACACCTGTAATCCCAGCTACTTGGAAGGCAGAAGTAGATAGGTGGACCTAGGTCCAAGAATGGTTGGGAAAAAGTTAGCACAAGACCCTATCTGAAAATTAGCTAAGGCAAAAAGACTGGGATATGGCTCAAGTAGTAGAGGGCCTGCCTAGCAAGCATGAGGTCCTGAAGTCAAATCTGAGTATGCACTCCCTCCCCTCCCCCAATCTGCCCAATGTTTTATTTGCACCAGATCGCTCAAAAGGAGGGAGTGACTTGCTCAAGGTCACACAGTCAGTCAGAGGCACAGCTGGGCCCAGAGTCTGCTGCATAGTCCACACTGTCCCCCTCAATGCTTTGCTTCATGGGAATCCTTGTCTGGGTCTTATCCTCCCCACATCACCACTGTAGACTGCGAAAGCCTTGAGGACTGCTTCAGTCCTCCATGAGGGTGACAAAAGCCAACACTTCAGGCATACTAGATGCCCGTGTCTTTCTTCTATCCTCACACCAACTCAGAAAAGAGGTTTCCTGATGGCCATTTCAGAGATAAGGAAAATGAGATGTCAAGAACAGCTTACTCATTCTGGGTCTCACAGTTGGCAAGGGGCAAAACAGAGTTGGAGCCAGACAGGCTGACTGGTCCCAAGCCTGGAGTGTCTTTCCTTTGGAAGGCTCCACTCACTTTCCTCAACCACTGTCCCTGATCCAGCCCAGCTGCTACCTCTTCAATGAAGCCCTTGTCAATCCATCTAGACTCCTAGATCAGTTCTCCTCTCCTGCCCAACCTGATCCAGAGACCTCAGAGAGGGAGTGGGGCTCAGAGGAGACAGCAGGAGAGGCCAAGTCTGGTAAAACTCCTGGCTTCTTCCTGCTGGCAGAGGGTGGGGATCGGGCAGGGCAGAGATGGGGGAGAGGAGAAAAAAAAGATGAAGCTTGGGCTGGCAGCTGTTCCTGCAGGCCACAACCACTGTTTGAGCTGCTCACTGGCCAGGACCCAGCAGTCATGGCATGCCTCTGCCCAGTCTACTGGCCAAATCACTAGTCTACCAGAAGCAGATTTGAAAAACTTCAAAATGACAACTGGAGAGAGGCAGGTTCAGGCCGATGTGGACAGCAAGCTGGAGGAGCCACAGAGGGCCAAGGTCAGAGTCCAGGCTCCTGACTACCAGTCAGCCCTGGTAAGCTTGGCCTGCATATTCCATGACCCCTTCTACTGTGTCACCCCTTCTCCCTCCCTCTGAAAACCTTGGGAGTACAGAAAGGACTGTACACATAAACTAGGAGACAAAAAGGTGGCAAACCAGAGTAGGGAAGAGGGGTCTCCCTAACCCATGCTCTATGGGGCAGGATGAGCCTAAGCCATCTCTGAGTCCCCACCACACATCCCAGGGCCTGGCATACTCTAGGCCCTGCACAGAGATGTGACCTAGCTATCTGTGCTAGTCTGAGGCCAGGGCCTGTCTCCATCCTCCCTAAGTGCTCCCAGACCAGCAGAGGCCATTGCCGGGGAAAGGGGTGCTTAGTAAACTCTGACTAAATCCATCACTGAAGGATGTGCTTCCCACATCCAAAGTTTCCGCCTTTGAATTGGAGGTGTAGCTTGAGCAACAGAGCACGTGCTTTGCAAGCATGAAGCCCTGAGTCCAAACCCCAGTCCCACCAAAAAAAAAAAAATTTCAAAACCTCAGCCTTCACGTTTGCTCCATTGTTCATCCCCCAAGATACATTCTGGATTCATATATATTCCAAATCAGAGATCTTGAGGATGGTCCCTAAGGGAAGGGAGGAAAGCAAAAGAGAAAACAGTAAGTCTGTGGGTGGAAAAGGAGATGACCTGAGAGGTACAATGTTCCATGAAGTGCCAGGAGGACACAAAGCCTGAGAGAGAAATGAATGAGGATGAAGTAATCTGGAAGGCTTCTTGGAGGGGATGGCCTTTACTCTAGGTCTTGAAAGGTGGAAATGAGGACATATGACAAGCAATGAGGACAGCTCATAGACACTTCAAGGTTGAAGGTAATCCCCACTTCCCTAGCCAACCCCACGGCTCAAAGACCAGCTGGAGAGAATGAAACTTTGCCCAAGGAACACACCCACCAGGCTGTATAGGGTAATTCAGGTGGGGTTCCACAGGAGCAAGGCATGTGCTGTGGACCAGGCACACCACAGGCTCTGCCCTGCGCCTCTGGGTGGTTACATAACCCCCACTGCTCTGGCTCCACAGCCAGCTGGGACCTTCCACCTCCTCTGCCTCTCCTGTCATCTGCCATCTGTCTCTGCAGCTTCCTTCATATAGAAGAGGCCGCTGTGCAGCCGAAAACGAAGGCCAGCCCTGTGGTAAATTCCCCACATTCCTTCCACACAGAAAAATAAATAACCCAGGAGGAAAAGCGCAGGAGGAATGATGATGACGGCCCAAACACGCTGGAGTGCAGGCTCACATGCTGGGATAAACAGCATGGGCCAGGAGCCCTTCCCGGGACGACACACCTATTAGCTGCTGCTTCTCCCAGGGGGCACAGAGCCAACCTGGAACTCTGGGAGGACAGACCTGCTCACATCTGCCAAAGAAGGTGCTAGAATCTCTCAGTGGTGGCTGTGGGTAGTGGTCACCATGGTGAACTTGCCAGGGGCGGGGCACACTTGTTTTCACTGCTCAAGGGGCTACTTATTCGGCACATCAATGTGCAATGAGCTCCTCCTGGAAGTATTATCATTTTTGTGTTTTATTTTATCTACACAAGCTGGGAGGATAAGGAAGGTCCCTTATCTCCACTTTACAGATGAGGAAACTGAGGCTCAGAAAGGGGATTCGCCAAGGTATTGGCCAGTGAGTGAACTGCAGGTTCCAGGGCCTGCCCCCCACTCCCATATCCATTCAGCTTGCTCTTCCCCCAGGCAGCCTTCCTTCACCAAACCCACCCTAAGGTGCAGCCTGTTCGCCTCCTGTCCACTGCTCAGCAGGGCACCCCATTCAGTCACATTTAGTAAATCGCTTCCCTTTTCTGAGTTTCAGCTTCCTCACTAGTAAAACCAGGATGTAAAACACAGCTGAGCAAATAAGATGCAGAACAGTATCAAGCAAAAAACACTGCACATACCTGAAGGGGGTTTTATCTTTGGCCCATTGACATCTCTGTGTGACTTAAAAGGCTGGGCTCTAACTGTTTCTCTCCATCTCTCCCTCTGTTCACCAGTCCCCTCTGGGCCTCACACTTCTGCCCACAGTCAAACACAGTCCAACCCCAATCCCAACCCCACTGCCACAGCACCCCTACCTCTAGCCACTGTGCTGCAGCAGAGAATGGATTTGAATCCTACGCCCCCTAACTGAAGATCCAAGGCTTCTAGGACGGAAAGCAACCCATGCTGGCTGTGCAGCCAGAAGGGCACCACGGCTGTGGGGTCCTGGAGGCTCTGACCCCGCTGTGTCTCCCAGACTGCCATACAGCAATTATCTGGCACGGCTGGTCCCCTCCAGCAGGAGAAGTCTCCTGCCAGAAGAGAGGCTGAGTCATCCAGTCCTGCCCTCCCTGTTTCCCTCAAACCACTAAAGAAGCCTGGAGGTCAGGAAATTTGGCTCCAGTATCTGACCTGTCACAATTTGAATAGCATTAGGCTATTCTCTGAACCTCTTTGGGCCTCAGTTTACCCATCTGTTCAACGAGGGGATTGGATTGACCAATGGGTCCCAGAGTATGGTGCTCTCCCGCCTCTAGTGAAAGCAAAAGGATTTCAGGTGGCACCCTAATATTTAACATCTTAAAAAGTTACATAACTTTCAAATGTGAAACCTGTGATCTGGAGGATATTACTGCTTAGGGAGAGGCTAGAGTGGATATTTCAGTAACAAAATGAGACAATTTAAAGAAAATAAGTATAAATGGTACATGGAGTCATTCATTTAGCCAATATTCATTGCACACCAATTAAGGGCCAGGCACTGTTCACAGCCATGAAGAAAAGAAGACGAAAACCTCTTTTTTGCATGCTAATAGGAAGCAAAAGGAATAAACATACATATAAATCAGAGAGTAAATGTTATGGAGAAAAATTAAACAGGCACAGGAGATATGAAATACATGGGGCAGGGAGTGGTTTGGTAAGGTAAATATGGTAACCAAAATTGTCTGCAGTGAGAAGGCATATCTGAGTGAAGAAATGAAGAAGATGAGGGAGTGAGGCATAGGACTGTGTAAGGAAGAGTGGCCTGGCAAAGGAGCAGCTAGTACTAAGGTCCTGTACTTATCAGGTTTGAGGATTCTTTCTCTCTCTCTCTCTCTCTCTCTCTCTCTCTCTCTCTCTCTCTCTCTCTCTCTCACACACACACACACACACACACACACACGATGCTGGAGAGACCCCAGCTGGTAGCAGCACATCCTCCTCTGCACACATACCCACGCACAGAAGCACTGCCTGCTTCAAACCTGTGTAACACATGACAGGCCATGCCCAGGCACGCATGCACTCCATAGAGAGCTCGGGAGAGTATGTGACATGGAGCATCTGCAGGTGTCCATATGATGCTCATGTGACAGGCTGGCATGTATGTACCTGCATCAGATACACCTTGTGGGAGGGTGTCTGTCTCAGGTAACTTCGTTAGTAGGTAGCGCTTCAGCTTGAGAGCACCTGTTACCGCAGAATGGTAAGTGCCCCGATGGTCTGTTTCAAATCCATGTCTCCAGTATCTCTGTATTCATAGTCTCCCTTTTTCAGAGGTACATTAAAATCTACCACCTGATACTCAAGTGTCCCAGGGGATCATGTGTGGCGAATGTCCCATTTTCCTACAGCAACTAAATGGCATACGCCAGGTTAAAATACCCGGGTCAGCACTGGACAAGCTAGCAGCTTCAAGCAGCATTGCCATTCATCATCATCGTCATTCCAGCTCCATTCCTTTAGGGTGCTTGGGGATAGCTGAAGAGTAGGAAAAAAGGACCAGACTGTGAGCAGGAGGCCTGAGTTAAGGCCACAGCCTGGTATCTATTCCATGTGGGACCTCACACAAATCCCTTCCCCTCTCCTGCCCACATCAGAAACTTACAGGTGCCCCAGAATCCTTGAGGGAATGTGTTCAATATGCAAATTCCTGGGTTCCGCCCTAGAAACCCATGGGGTCACAAAATACGCATAGGCTTCCTTAGGAGGTCTGAGGCACAGACTGGGACCCACTGGCCTTTGCAGCACCTGATCATATACATATGTTCATAGTGAGCACATAGGAAAGTGTTTGGGATGTGGTCTGGCAACTAGCAAGGCTCCATAATGTTGACAATACACATGTAATAAGATAAATTTATCTGCACAATTACATATAGTAATTACAAACCATCCTTGGAATATGCACAACACTTTTGTAGTTTTTCTGGCACTTTTCTTTATCAGAAATAGAGGTAGAATGGGATTTTCATGCCATTTTACAGTCTAGAAAATGGAAGTAGATAAATGCCGGAGGACCTGCCCAGGATCTCACAGCACACAGGTCTTTGGCTGCCAGCCAGAGACCTCGGCCCAGCTTTGTGAGATGTGCCACCTCAGGACGTGATCCACTCACCCCCATATGATTCCCAACCCACAGGGTAAGTGACTTTCATTCTAGGTTCATGAAAGCTCTTGACACTTATGACTTCCTCAGCATCTCAGGATTAAGAATAGACAACCTCAATCATTTAACTTCCTTCCAGCATAAGGTTCCCCCCTGCTGCCACTAAGCAGTGCAGGGGATCCCCAAGGGGCCCTAGTGCTACCTGCTACCATTTCATCTAAAATGGTCATTTGATCTAGCCAATCAGAATTTAATCTGGTCATGAGCTATTGTGACTTTTAGCAAGCCTTGTATCTGCTGAATCTCATTTCCTCCTCTGTAAGAGTCTCCCGATTCCTACCCTGCTGGTTTGTTGCACTGATCAGCTCACACATGCAAGGGAGACAGCATCGGGTGCTGATGGGGCACCATGACTCTCTGGTAATGTGTGAGCTTTGGGAAGGGAAGAACCTTGCTTCACATGTGTTCAACAGATATGTCCTGAATGAAGGAAAAAATGAAATGATTTCACCAAAGCAACTTTCTCCTGCCAGGATGGCAGGGCCAGCGGGATGGGCTATGAATACGGGGAACTTGCTCTCTGCTCTGCACATAGTAGACGTGCTTGCCATGGCAGTGAGGAAGGCCACACTAGGAGGGCTATATCCCAGATCCCTGAATGTAATCCTGTTGACTCAGAGGCATAAATAATGCACTGGTAGTTCTCTCCTCACCATACTGTCATGCTAAGAATAGCAGTGGCTACTGTTTCAAAGATTCCAAAAGGAAGCGGACAGGACACCCAATGGAGATAATCAGTAAAGATGTCATTGAGCTGTGACCTGTCAGGAACCTCCCTGCAAGCCCACATTTCCAAACTCCTAAGACAGAGGACCCTGAATGACAAAGCAGAAAGACTCTTAGAGGCCACCTGGCCAGGAGTTCTCCCGGAGTAAGGTAGAGGCTGGGGAACATCCGCCTCCCACCGGTCTGTATTTTCTCCTTCTCTCCTGATGCCCACGCTAACAATGCCTGTGCCTCTAACTCGCCCCTCCACACTCCTGGGATGGGTCCCGCTTATGTATTTTACACGGAAAACTTTGGAGCAAGAAGATTCTATGGGTCTTAATTACTTTTTTTTAAGTTTAAAAATGGCTGACAGTGGACTGTTAGTAGTGTCTTCCTATGGGAAGGCAGGAACAGGAGGATCACAGTACAGGCAGGTCAGGGTAAAATTAGTGAGACTATCTGAAAAATAAAGCAAAAAATGACTGGGGGCATGGCTTAAGTGTTACAGCACCTGCCTAGTAAGCAAAGACCTGAGTTCAAACCCCACTACCACAAAAAAATAAAAAGCAGACTTAGAAGAGTGCTTCTCATACTTTAAAATATATAGGGATCACTACCCAGGGCAGTGGTTAAAATGCACATTCTGATTCAGGAGGGTGGGGCGGGGCCTGAGATTTCACATTTCTAGCAAGTTTCCCAATGACAATGGCACTGTATCCACAGGTCATACTTTAAGTACAGAAAAACTGGCATATTTCCTATTACTCAGATGGAGAACACGACGTCCAAAGAAAAGGGATGTGCCCTTTCCTTAGCTCAGAATGTAAGTGTGGACTACCATCCCATGGCTTTGCCCTCAGAGGGCTTTGAGTGACTGCAGATAAAACAAGTAAGATGCAAACACAACGATGGGCAGAGGAAGAGGTGACCCCCGGTGCTCTGCACACAGTCATCCATGAGGAGGCTGGAGTGTGGAGGGCCACTGATAGCACTATCAGGATAGGCAACCAAGGGAGAGAAGAAAGGAAGCACGGCCAGCCTCCTGATCACTGCCAGTGATGTTTGTCCTTCCCCGCAAGTGCTGTAAAGTTCTTTGGGTCTCCAGGCTAGCTCTACTCCCCTGGGGTGCCCCACCCTCTTATACTCCACCACATTGGCCCACCTTCACATGCTCAGACAAGGTGTCAAGCACTTTCTCACCTCAGGGCCTTTGCACTGGCTGTTCCTTTTGGTTAGTCTTCCTTCCTTTACCCCCTCAGCTGAGATTTTCTGACCACACTTCTCATTCTTTGGATCTATTTACAGGTCTCAAGGAGGCTCCTCTGTCCTCAGAGGTCACATTCCCCAGCCACAGCACCCTCAGCGTCTCCTCCAAACTCATTAGATTTGTAATTCCACCAGTGTTTGTTTTAATATCAGGCTGCTCTGTCCTCTCAAGGCAGGGACCTTGGCCATGACCCTGCCCCCATGCCTAGACTATAACTGGGGATCAACAAAGACTTGTTGACTGAAAGAGATGCATAAACGCTGCTCACATCCCCACTGCAAAACTTCTCCACGGCTCCATGTGACCTCGTCAAGACCACAGAAGTCGCAAGACTGAGATTTTCAAGATTATTTGGGTCAGGACTCTGTTCTGCAATTCCCCAGCTGAGCAGCCTTCAAAGGTCACGTCACCTCTCTGAGTGGGGTCTCAGCACTGCTCATCAGGTCCCAATGAAAGAAGGAACCTGGGAAAGGCTTTGAAAGCTGCAAAGAGCTTTCACTGATATTACCAGTCCAACAATGCTTGACGCCCAGAGAGGGACAGAGCCTCGCTCAAGGCCACACAGCCAGTGTGTGATGATGCCAGACCTCCCGGGCACAGCTTGAAGCCAACAGCTGAGCTTCAGGCCCACCCAAGCTCAATGAGAGCACCATCTGCCTAGAGGCTGGGCAAGAGAGGGGGAGGCAGAGAAGAGGGTGGCTGGGGAGCACTCAGACTCAGGCACAGAGCCAGAGTGTGGGGGTGGGGGTGGAGCCCCCAGCAGGGGACTTGAGTGGGGGCTGGCAGCTGGGCACAGGGGAGCCAACTGGCTCAGGCTGGGTGGCATGCTTGTTCCCCATGCGCGTGACAGTCTATTTTTTAATCAGTCCTCTCTCCTCCCCCAACTCCATGTGTCCTCCCAAAGGGCCCTATATCAGCAGTCTTGTCCTGGTCAGGCCAGGGCCACCTTTGGGATGGATGGAAGGGTACTCTAAGTCCCATCTCTTCATGGAGCCCCAAGGATAAACAGCCCAGAAGGCAGGACAGAAGGCTCAGGGATGAAGGGCTACCCCCTGTCTATATGAGCTGGGGCTGGTATCTAGAATCTCTGGCCTCAGTTTCCTTTATCTGTACAATGATGGGGGCATGCTAGACTTTATGGGAGTATTACAACTCAGTCACTTGGCATCCACTCAAGTTCTACAACATTAACAATGCTCACTCATGAGGCCCTGGCAGGGCCTCCCATGTCCATGGTGCCCACAGGGCACACTTAATCCTCCCTGACCTACTCCCAGGGAAGAGGGAAAGGGAAGAAAAGACTCTGAGCTGGTTCAAATGCTGATCTCAGAGCCCTAGATCACAGACTTTGTCAGGTTCCTCCTTCCAAGACCAGAGGGACAGAGATGGTGAGAATCAAACAGAAATATTGTGTGTTCTTGAGTAAGTGGCTTGGCCTCTCTGAGCCTCTGGCACACCATCTAAAGCAAAAAAGACTGCTATGCAGTAGAGAAGTTCACAGTCTTTGGACCCCACTGTCTGGGTTTGCATCTTGGCACTTATCTAAAGCTGTGTGACCTTGGGAGCTCACTTAACCAATCACTTTGTGCCTCAGTTTCCCATCTATAAAATGGGTGATAATAACAGGACTTATCCAATACATATGTTGACATGTAAAGAACTCAGAACACTCAGGGCACAAAGTAGAAACAATAAATTATCAAGCACTCTAAGTCTTGAAGTCATTTTATTCTAGAAGATTACATGCAAGGGTCTCAGCTCACTGTTCTATCCATGGGCTCATTTAGTTGCCCCTTCCTCTACCTTTGACACCATAGGACCAAATGTTTTGGGGGTCTGTTAGCTCTTTCACATCCATGAGCATCTCAGATCCTTACTGCCCATTTCGTAGCAGTTCAGAATGGAAGCAAATGATTTGTCCAAGACCTGAAGCTTAGTCCAGGGCCCTTCCCACTGAGTCTGTCCCCCTCCTTCCACAATCAAAACCTGCTCCTGACCAAGAACCAAAAAATAATTCACACAGAGATATGAGGAGTCTTGGGAGAGAAGCCATCTCCTCAACAGCTTGCTATTTTAACAAAGCTTGCTAATAAGTAGTGTTTCATTTTTTAAGCATCAATTCATTTCATTTTCGTACAATACAAGGGTTATTATTGCCTCTATTTTATAGATGAGGGGGAAAAAGTCCAGAGAGGTTACATAATATGTGGTAAGATCTCCCAGCCAGCCAGGAGTAGAGTCAGCCAGGATCCAACCACAGCATCTGTGTGGGAACTGTGCAGGAAGCAGGTGACACAGAGGTAAACTGACTTTTGCTCCGCCTGCACTGCCCAGAGAGGCAGGGCCCAATCAGCACAGTTGCACACCAGCCTGCCTCACCAAGTGGAAAAGATGAAGCCAGTATGGTGGAATGTCAGGCAGCAGCCAGTTGGTAAAGACTTCATTCCAAAGAGAGGGCTTTTTGTAAGCCTCTGGAATTGCAGGGCCTAGGGGCTGGTGGCATGTTGACTCCTCCTCTGGCCACACTGAGTAGCAATTGAGCCCCAATGTCCAGGGACCGTTCACAAAGGGCTCTATACACACACACACTCAGGCAGGCCCAGCTTTCCCTCTGACCAGATCTCAGGACCTTTGTTTAAACCCTCCTAGCGGTGGGGGAACTGCAACCTACAACCAACACCCCCTCCCATGCCCCAGTGTGGACCATTTACCATCTTCTGGAACACCATTCCAACCAAACCTCTCCCATTCCTCTGGGCCGTGTTCTGCTCATACCTCCTCCAGGAAGCCCTGACCACCCTTTAAATAACATTCAAATTCTTCTCCACCGTTGCCACCTGAGAGAGAATGTCCCTAGCCACCCAGAGTAGCCCCTCTAGTTGCTCTCCATCTTCACAGGGTTCATTTTTTTTCATGCTACCTTTACGGATCTGAAATTAGCTCACTGATTTCTTTGTTTTCTGTTTTCTTGTTTTATCCCCTCAATTAAAATGCAAGCTCCTTGAGGGCAGGGACATGGCTGTCCTGTTTACTACTATAACCCTAGTTTCTAAGCACCCATCCCACCCCACTGCTAGCTAGGGACACACAAGTCCCAAAAGGGTAAAGAATTCACCCAAGGTAACGCAGCAAGCTAGCAGGTGGCAGAGGTCAGCCTAGCATTGCAGTGTAGACACTTGGCCTGTCCCTGTACTCTCTCATTTACCCTTTGGTGGTCTGTCTTGCCCTTGCTTCCTCATTACATTGGGCCAGAGTCTGCAGTTCTTTGCCAGCAGTGTCCCTCCACTTCCCTAGGGGTCCACAGTGCCCCAATCTGGGCACTGTGATCCTTACTGCCCATTTCACTGCCCTGTCTGCTTCCCCTCAGTCCCTCCCTTCCTGGCATCAGTAGCTCTGATGAGCTCATGTCTGGAAGCCTAGGAGCTGCCCTGAAGGAAAAGGTGCCTCCCAGGCCAGGCCCCTGGGCCTGGGAGGTGGGTTCAGCTTTGTGGAAGGATAGCCCTGGCAGGGGGAGTAAGTGAACTGACCCCAGCCTGGCCTACCATCTGAAGCTGTAAGGTAGGACCCTAGAGATGGAACAACTAGGGGTAGAGGGGAGATAGACAAAAGCCCTACTTCTCCCCTCCTTCCAGATGTTCCATGGCCACCTGTGCCCCTCCCACATATCAAGGAGTCACTCTTTCCCTGGGAGAGAGGGCTCTGCTGCCTTCTACCCATAGAACCACCCCGAGCAAACCTCTTTCCCTTGTTGGTCTCATCAGTCTTCATAACTCGAAAATCGGAGATTAAATACTGACTGAAGAGGCAAGCCAGGAACCAGGCACCTGAATGCCACAGGTTTGGGGGTTTTTTTTGTTTTGTTTTGTTTTGTTTTTTCACCTCAGTGGAAGAGTATAGAAGGGCAAGGACTGAGAAGGAAGGGAAAGAGTTAAAGGCCTTCTCTTAACCATGTAAACGCAGATCCAATCACACTTTAATGTAAATGCTAAACTAAGAGGGGAGTTGGAGGGCTGGCCTATGACTTGTGAAGTGGGACAGGTCTGAAAAGTGGGGTCTGTAAGACGGTAAGCACAGGAGTTCTTCAAATATTAAACTTGAATGATCCTAGTCCATCTTCTCATGCAAATAGAGAAACTGAGGAACAGAGAAAGAGAGGAACCAGCCCAAGATTTCATGTGGAGACCAAGACAGGGGATGCCCCTACCAAGCAAGCAGGGCATTTTCAGTCCTGTGAGGGAGATCTCATCGTACCACCGGAGGCAATATGGTAAGTGGCAGGGGGTTTCAGTTTGTGGATCTGCTCCCCAACATGGGCTGGGGTCCAGTCCTGAGGTCAGTGACAGGACAGGCCACTGCCAGTAGGATTCCAGTCTCTTGTCCCACTGTACCCCTGGCCCTTTGATTAGCATCCTTATCCCACCCTCCAGTTTCCAAAGCAACAGGAGTTGCACCCTCTGACTGTCCTTAGGACCACCACCAGCACTGCTGCCTCCAGGGTGTTACCCATTCAGGGCCCACCCTGCCATCCTCTCACAGGGCAGCCAAAGAGCAGGGCGCTTGTGCCAAGATCACTCAGCAAGGTGCTACCTGCCACTCAGATTAGGGTGGGAATGGGGAGCCCGACACATACTGCTTTCCCACTCAGCTCTTGTTCTTTCTAGAAAACCCAGACACAGAGCACAGGGGTCCCTGCTCCCATCCAGAATAAGCCCATAACTTGGGGTGGTATTGGGGGAGGAAGGGAGACCTTTCCCCAGATTCTTGCCAGGGCCCTGGATAGAGTCCCCCACCCCCACTCAGCAGTGTAGTGGTTGGAAATGAGCCCCACCCTCCACTCCACTTTGAGCCCGTTTTGGGAGCAAAAGGTTCAATAGTTGGGGTGTTGTGAGCATTTGATACAGAAAACTTAGGAGTTTCCCTCTCCCCTAAGGCACTCAGGAAAGGCCTTGATTTCCCCACTGGTGCTTGGGCCTGGTGATCCCAGCGGTGTGGTGGTTTGGATACCTGAGCACTGGCCCTTGCAGCCAGACCCTGGTGTCCCGTCGCCCCACCCGCGGGAGGTGGGGACACAGGCCCAGCACAGGCTGTTCTGCTTCCCCCACAGGCGCCCATGTGGGTCCACCCGGACAGAGCCCCACCCGCCGGTTCTTGAATCAAGCCAGCCAGACATTCCCAGAGCCGCCTGGTGGGCGCAGACCCCAGGCTGTTGCCCATCCTTGGGCCTCGGGACAGCCTCGCCTCCGGATCTGCTTGCGGAGAGAGGCGCGAGGGCTGGATCGTCAGCCCTCGCGCTAGTCCTGGACACTAGCTTTCCTTGCTCACCGCGTCCTCCCGCTCCAGAGAAGCTGGAGAGTCCCGGGATCCCACCAGCCTCCGCTGTACAGATGGGGAAACTGAGGCCCAGGGTGTAGATGCATCTTGGCCAAGGTCACCCTGCATGGGGGAACTGGAGCCCAGATGTGCCACTCTTCCAGGGTGGTGCCAGCAACTGCGCAGGTAGGGAGGGCGAGGCTCGCTACGCGCCCGCACCCCCGCCAGGCCAGCGCCCCCCACTCACCTCCAGCCGCTGCGCGCGGTCCCCGAGTTCCCGGGCGCCACCGCCTCAGCACACCTGGCAGCGTCCGTCGGTGCGCCCTGCCCCGAGATCCCCACACCCCTGTCCCGCACCCTGCGCCGGCTCCGCGTCCGAAGCCCCTTCCTTGTCGCCGCCACCGCCCGGAGGGCTGCTTGGGACCCGAAGTCAGGAGATGCGAGCGCCGGGCAGGCGGGCGGGTGGCTCTCCTGCCGCCCGCTCCCCGGGGCCCTAGCGCCGCCCAGCCCACCCGCCCCGCCCAGCCCAGCCCTCGGGGTGCGACTCCTCCCTCCGCTGGCTCAGCCTGCTCACTCCAGTCGGGTTCCCGTTTCCCCCTTCCCTCTCTCTGTGCCACACTTTCTGCTGTCTGATCGCCTGCCTCTGCGTTTCATCATCATTTTCTGTATGTCTAGGTCTGTCAGTCTGGTCGGTTTTGTTTCTCACCCAGTTTCTTAGTGCCACCATCTCATTTCCCACTTTTTTCTCTGTCCCTTCCAGTAATATCCCCTTTAAAAACTCTCTGTGAGTCTGTCTTCCGTGACACCATCTCCCATCCCAGATGCAGTACCCCTCAGGCCCAGCCCCCACCCCCATTTTGGACCCGGTTACTGGAGTAACTGTCCCTGGGTGGTAGGACTTGGGGAAACAAGGGCTGAGGAGAGTTGCCACCTTCCACCAGCCTGCTGCTGTCCCCTGACTTTACTCATGATTTAACAAGAGCACTGATACTGTGTGGCCTCCGTGGGGCTTTGGTTCCTCATCTTTTCCTTGAAGGAAATGCCGCTAGTGCTGAGCTCTTCAGAGCTTGTCAAGGGTCAGTGTACATCAAAGCCACATGCAGACGCTGTTAACAGTCCTTATTCCTACATTCCAGCACTCCTGCTATGGGGAGGCCTCTCCAAACCCCCAGCAATTTTGAGTCGGGACCGCACTTAGGAGAATGTTGACCTGGGTTTTCATGAAGTTTCTCTGGATTTTTCACCCCTTCAGCCAGAGGGGGGTCCACTAGAACCGCTGTGTTTAGTTAGAAATGTGTGAACATATGCCCACCTCACTCAAGGTCCTCTGAAACACAGACCTACAGGTGTCCTTGTGATGTTCCTTGCCCCCAGTGGGTGAGTTCACAGAACAGGAGGTCAGGTGGCTAGGAGAAAAACCTCTCTGGCCACTCCATCCCTCTGCCTGGCCTCATAGGCTTTGGAGAATTCCCTGCTTGTGTCTGCTGTTGTCCAATTATGCAGGGTGGGGGACAGGGAGGGGTCCTGCAGACTGGCACCAGGCAGGGAGGGGACTGCTTATCCTGAGTGCACATGCTTGGGGAAATGACTACAGCCCAGCCTGTGGGAAACCAGGAAATAAACTGTGTGGGTGAGAGAGAAAGAGAGAGAGGCTAGGATTACTGCGTGGGTGGGTATGAAAGAGAAAGAGAGGGGGGAAGAAAGCAGGAGAGAAGGTGGTTCGATCTGTATGTAGGTGTGCAGCAGTGGGTGTGCAAAAGTGGATATGTCTGTAGGACAGAATGTGAATGCAAGAGAGCTTTCAAAGTGTGGGTGTGCAGCAAAAGAAAATGGAGAAAAGAGCATGCCTTTAACCTGTATATATGGGAGGGAACCCATGTGCGTGTATGAGAAATTGTTCACATCTGCTATGTGTTCTCAGGCAGGACTGTAGCGCTGTAAGTAAATCTGAGCTGTGTGTGCACAGGTGACAGATATGATGGATGAGGGGGCCTTTGAGAGGGTGTGTACCAGTGTCTACCCATTGCAGGTGTGCAGATATGTAAGTTCATACATGGGAAAATGTTTGCATGAGAACATGATGTGCACATGTCATGGTGTGTGTGTGTGGTGTGTTTATGGGTGTCTATGTGTGGGTGCACAGTGGGGTATCTGTGAACCACTAAGCAATGCACCTCCTCATCACCCTCCTGTTACAGCCACTGCAGTGTGGGGGAGTGGGAAGGGCAGTGAGCAGCTTTCTACCCAGCTTCCTGCTCTGTCTGCTGTCTCTCTCACAATCCTGGGGGCCAAGGGCCTTGGTGGTGGCCCAGTGACCACTGTAAGCTCTTAACCCTAGTGTGGGTTCCTCTGCCTAATCAAGATTGAACGTGGCCAAGGATAGGCTAATCTGACATCCTAGACCTACACCACCGTTCTAAGCCATTCCCAAGTCTCAGAGCAGTGTCCACTACAGCTGGAAAGGCCTTCAAATCCTCTAGATGCTCCCCCCAGCCCCAATTACAAATGGCCATGAGTAATGGAGCAGCTGGGCCACAGAAGGTCCCAGGTCTCCCCAGCACATCTGAACTAAGAGACTGTGGCTTAGCCCAATCCCCAACTACTCCCAGAGCCTGAACACCTTTTTCAGCCCCTGGTGGGTGGAAGAACATAGCCTGCTGCCTTGTCTCCATGGATACGAGGCAGCAGAGAGGTTGTTTAAAAACATGGGCCCACACTTCTCAGGGTTCAAACCTCAGGTCCTCCACCCACAGACTGTGAGACTTTAACAAGTTACTTAAATTCTTTATGCCTTAGTTTCCTCATCCGTGAAACAAAAATAAGAAAATTATAGACTGAGTGTGGTGGTACAGGTCTGTAATCCCAGGTACTTGGAAGGCAGAGATAGGAAGATCACTGGCAAAAGTTAGTGAGACCCTATCTCAAAAACAAGTTGGGCTTGTTGGTGCACATCTGGGGTCTCAGCTACTCAGGAGGAAGAGGTAGGAGGATCATGGTCCAAGGCCAATCTGGGAAAAGTTAGCATAAGACCCTATCTGAAAAACAAACTAAAAGCAAAAGAACTGGAGGCATGGCTCAAGTGGTAGAGCTCACACAAAGCCCTGAGTTCAATTACACCATACTGAAGGAAAGAAAATGGAAGGAAGGAAGGAAGGAAGGAAGGAAGGGAGGGAGGGAAAAAGGGAGGAAGGGAGGGAGGGAGAAAGGGAAGCAGGGAGGGAGGGAGGAAAGAAGAAAGGGAGGGAGGGAAGAAGGAAGAAAGGAAGGGAGGAAGGAAGGAAGGAAGGAAGGGAGGGAGGAAGGGAGGGAAGCAGGGAGGAAGGAAGGAAATTCATAGGGCTATTTCGAGGATGAAATGAAGTCATCCATACAAAACACTTAGTACAGTGCCTGGCAGCAAAACCAGAAGACAGAAACTCAGGGTTTCAGCCTTGAGTTTTGCCATCAATTTACTGTGTGACTTTGGACCAGTCGCTTGTCCCCTTTGGGCTTCAGTCTCTGTCTATATAGTAATGTTAATGAGCCCTGCCAGCTGTGATCAGCTGAGACTTTGTGGGGAGGACAGCTATAGTGTGAGGCTCTGTTAGTGTTTGGAGGCGGTCTGATTATGACTCCAATATTATACTCTTCTTCCCATATATATTCTCCCAAGTGGCAACAGCTGGTGGCAAGAAACTTGAACTTCAGGCTGCTGCCGTCTCAGCTCTCTGTGGTCCTTCCCCTTCCAAACTGCTGAGGACCCCATCCTGCCCTGCTCAGCTGCACACAGGCCTTAGAGACATGATACCAGTATCCACTAGTGCCAAATAAAGGTCTCTGCAGTGCCCAAGGCAGAAGACGCCATGTCCCATACTTAAAACTTCAGGGAACACTTCAGAGAGGCAGGTATAATTGCGGAAGGATGGGTGTAATCATCTGAAGATGCTTCTAACCCTCTGGTGGTAATAGGAGGAAGCTTTTAAAGGAATTCCTAATCCACTAATAACCTGGCAGCTCGATGGGCTTCTTCCCTCTGCATTTCAAGCAAAGGGAGGGAACTCTGCCACTCCCTTCCCAGGGAGCAGAAAGACCATGGTGGCTTTGACCCAAGACCTCCCAGATTGTGACTTCCTGCAATCAGCTTCTTTCCTGTCTCTGCCTCTACCTCCAAGAAGTCTTCCCTGCCCATTCTATTCTCCTGAGATCACTCCTGTCCCCTTTGTCCCTAAAACTGCTTAGGCCAGAGCCAGCTGGGCATTAAAGAGTGAAATGAGTCAGATTGTTCAGAGCAAAACCACAATCATAACCTAAATCCTACACAAGGACCATGCGACCTTTCGAGCGTTATTTAAATCTGCAGGCCAAGTGCCTCACCTGTAAAACGGGGAGAAGTGTACCTGTCCTGAAAGGTTATGGTAAAATCAGGAGAATGACATGCTGTCACATCAACTGGATAATGGACATAATAACCTTATGCCCGAGAGGCAGGAGGTTGTGGTGAGATTAAATGAAGTGCTACCTGAAAGCTCCCAGCACAGTGGGCTTCATATACAGGACTCAACAAATAGTAGTCATATTGTTGAGCTGACGATAATTTCAATTATCTTCAATATCTCTCATAAGCTACCTAGGTTACTGTAAATTTTCCAAACTGTGGTCAGATCATCACCACAAGTTCACAACAGCTATATGAGGTAGACATGGCTCCTGTTTTTATTCTGTTTTCACAGATCAAAAAGAAAGAAAGAAAACACAAAACTCACCAGGGGAACTTGCCAGGGCTTGGCTAGTCCAGACCCACAACCCTGCCTCCTGACCCCCAGCTGTGGCCTGTGTGAAGGGAGACAACAGATGTCTGGGGCCTCTGGCTCTGTGGCACCTATGTTTGGACTGACTCTGAGGTGAAGGCTCCTCATTGCTGCTGCCCAGCTCCCTGTGTGACCCAAGCCTGGGAGGGAACTGAGTCCACAGGGGTGATCAGGGCCTGGAGAGAATTCTTTAAGGAGCAGAGTGGGAGGGAAGGCTGGTAAGATGCCAGCAGGGGTGTCAGTGACGCCTGCAGAGAAATGAAGTGTTCCTTCAGTTTCCTGACGCACAAGCCCTCCCAGAACTGTCCCCCGCACGCCTTGCTGGCAGCAGCTCCTGCCTGCACCAAGCATGGCCCGACTCACGTCCTCCCCATCTGGACCCACTTCAGCGTTTCCATGGGCCTGTGCGGAGGTGATTCAGTGTGGGTTTCCCTGCCCCGCCCTGCTCTGCAGACTCACGCGCCTGCAGGGAAAATGATCCTCCATCCTTCCTTCCTACCATGCCATGCCGCACACGGAGTTCTCCCCACACGCTGTCATTGGATCCCACTGCAGCCCAGGTAACATGGCTTCTGCCTTTGTCATCTCTAACAGATGGGAAACCGAGGCCTAGGTGGGCTGCCAATATGCCAAGTGACCTCAGCAGTCTCTCACTCACTCTGGGTCCCAGTTTCCCCACTGGGGTCAACTTAGATCAAAGGCTTCAGCCTCTGTCTTGCCAGCTCCAAGAGGGCAGAGACTACTTTCGTGTTGCATTCACAGCATTCCCAAATAGCCGAGCTGCATACATTAAGTCCTCATTAGTTGCTTGGAATTTCACACTAATGATTAAAGGGCAGATGAGAGTGAGAAAATGAGGTTTTTTTTTTTTTTTCAACCAAGCATGATACTGGCTTTCTCTCACTGCCTTCTCAAGTGCTCTCTTTGGCAGAGAAAGAAGCAGGGTTAGATATGGAACAGCTGGAATTACATGTAACAGCCGCTCCTGTCTCTCCACAGCTGTTGATCTGGGCATGCTCACAGACCTGTGGTGATTATCATGAATCTTGGGAAAACACTCTCAGGACCCTCTGCTTAAGAACCTATGGGGTTTCCTGTGACTCTAGGGAGGACAAACACAAGCTTACCTGGTTTCTGGGCCACTCTGGGTCCAGGGCCAGGGCTGAGGCTGGCTGTCATCACCTGCTGGGCCTTTACCACATCCCAGTCCTGGCTGGCCCTATTGTCTTGCTGGGCCCCACCTCGTGCCTCCTGAGAGCAGCTGGGTGGCTGGATGTTCAAGACTCTGGTTAGCTGTGATGTCTCTTGGATGGTTCTGCAGGCAGAGTTGTCCCTGCTTCTGCTGGTCACCTCATCCTCTTCCAGGTCCATGAGCCCCACCTCTCCTTGCAGGCCCTCCTCACTGCTGCTCTCTTCAGCCTCCAGAGCCAGACACCTGTAGTTGCCATCAGGGATCTGGAAGGTGCAGGGGGCAGACCTCCCTTCGCTGGGCCCGAGGGTTGGTTGTGGAAAATGAGGACCCAGCATGATGCTTCTGTACTTGGAGATTCTGAGGAATGGCACCTGGCCTACTGTGTGACCTGCAAATACTGCTCTCTATTCCTCTCGAGGATCTTCTCTGGTTCTCTGCAGATCCACCTTCCTCTGCTGATTCACAGAGTTGGAGTGAGGTTTGACTGAGTGTAAGATAAGTCCTTCCTGTGCTGGGTGAAGTGGTGGGCCCTCAACACCTCCTTCGTAACCCTTCTTGACCTCTGGTGTATGAGGCCCCTTCAGGACAATCTCTCTGTACAGGGAGAAAAGAAACATCTCACAAGACAGCTCATTGAGTGTTCTGGACTGAATTTCTGAGGCCTGTCCATCCTTGGGTGGTCCTGAAAACTAGCTGAGATTTGAGGTAATTTTCATGCTTCCACAGGGAAGTGTTTCCCAGGCTTCAACCATTCAACATCCTAGACTTGCACCATATCCTTATGTTACCTGACACTCATTTGCTTAATATTTTCTTTTCAATCCACTTTAAATAAGTAACTGTTTTACTTTAGATGTATCTTAAGCAACAATTACAGGAAAACCACAAGTATATTGTACTAAGTCATTTTTTTCCTAATACACATTAAAGAAATATCTATTTATTTAAAAATGCTTATCTAGGCTCCACCTTGAAAAAAAATTCTCTCACGTCCTACCAAAGGTACATACACCACAGGAATTATAGAAAAGTGGGGTGGAGACGCAAGACTGGGGACAGGGCTCCCCTGAGGAAGTTGTGAAAGCCAGAACAATGGTGTGCTTTTGTGTGGCGCAGAACCAGAGTTCAAATCTCAGCTATGCCACTTGCATAGCTGTCTCTAAACCTCCACTTATTCACCTGTAAAATGGATATTGTAATAAAGGTTAAATCTCTCTAATATGAAAATTGAAAATACAAAGTACTCCAATATCTAAATTTTTGAGCACTAACATGATACCACAAGTCCACATTCCACACCTGACCTCATGGAATAGGTCACAGTCAATACATAAGTACACTTAAAAATATTGTGTAAAGTTCCATTCAGGCTATTGTGTAAGGTATGTGTGAAACATAAGTTAGTTTTGAGCTTAGACTTAGATACCATCCCCAAAATATCTCATTATGTATATGCAAATATTCCAAAAATCTGAAAACCTCTAAAATCTGATCCCAAGCATTTTAGACTCCACCTGAGGGTACATGGAGGATCACGGGAGAAGGTGCCTGCAGAGGACTGTGCAGTCTCTGAGACATAACTTAGTGCATGTTGCCTTCTCTTTCAATCCACAAAGGTTTCTTAAGCCCCTATTCTAGTTCACATACCGTGAAAACTCCTGGGATGTAGTGAGGATAAAGCAGATACGCGTCTGTGGCTCATGAAACTTTAAAATCTGGTGGGGAGAGCTGTGAATGATAATGAGAACAATAATAATGATAGTATGATTGTTTATAAATGTTAAGAACGGTGATAATCAGGAGGGGGAGGCTTCCCGATAAGGGATGGAAGGAGGGGATAGATGTGAGAGAGTCTTGGGCAGAAGAACTGGCTGGGCTTGGAGGCAGGTGGAGAGTGGGTGTGTTGGGTTGGGGGGAGGGTGAGTTTGGTATACAGCATAGGTTCCCAGCTCTGGCGACAGAGTGTATGAATAGGGATCGGGAGTAAATGGGAAGGAGCAGGTGTTCGGCGGGATAGGGAGATGACTTTGATTTTTGGATTTCCAGGGTATAAGCAATCCCCCCTGGAAGGGTAGGGGCCCGTAGCGTGAGAGAGAGTTCCCACTGAGGGAAAAGGTTTGGAAATCCTATGGGACAACATAGAGTAGATATGGACAGATCCCCTGGGTTGGGCAGATAGCTCTTAGAACCCTTGGCCAAGTATGCTTGGGAGGAAACCTTGGAACAAACAGGTCTTGTTTAAAGACTTGATTCCACCACTACTTAGCTGTACAAACTCTCTGAATCTCATGAATCCTATTGCAAAATGGGGAGAGAAACACACATGCACACTTGGCAACCCACAGCCATTAAGAATCCTTGAGCCACAGCTGGGAGGA